TCACGCCAGCACCGTGGTGAGTGCAACGCGCGGTGGGAAGCGTTCTTGTCCGCACAACAGTATTAAAAAAAATGTATTGCTTACTCTTTGGTTCTTTCGGTAAAGTCACGCAGGTAGAAAATTAAATCACGACGACGATTCGATCAAAAACGAGACATCGTCCTCAGTTGAAAAAATACAGCAGGTAAACTGCTGCGGCATGAGAAAGAGCGGATCCTGGCTCTACTTTTGACGTTCAGCCATTTAATTCACCTGAGGACGATGGCTCGTGTTGCGATTGAAGCGTCCTCGTGATTTATTAATTTTCTACCTACGTGACTTTACCGAAAGGCCCAAAGAGTATGGATTCCTGCAGTCACGAAAGCTTCAAATTAAGATAAAAATTGATTGCTCTTTTTTTTTACAAAGAAACACAAAAATAACTCGGTGACATTAACGAGTGTTGATATCGATCCATCTTGGGGTGTGACTCCCTCGTGAGTGGTGGCTCCTTGCTCCGGCTGGTCAAAAGTTTAGTCTCAAACGAAGCAAAATATTTCATTAAAAATGTAATGGCTAAACATAAAAAAGTAGAGCAAGGACCCTCCAGGAATTGTCATAAGACCGAGTGAGACCCTGCTCTATAAACTGATCATCATCACCATTGTTGCTGTTGCTACATTCACTCTGACAAGCGGCCTTCCTTTGTGTCGCGATGTGGAATCGGGGTCACTGCGGCGTGGAGCGCTGACTGCTGGCAAAAAGGAGCTCGGCTGCCATGCCAACTATGTCCGCCAGACGCGAGGGGCTAGACGGGAGGAAGGGACGTGGGGAGAAGGGGATGGAGGAGCTAGACGGGAGGAAGGGACGTGGGGAGAAGGGGACGCGAGGGGCTAGACGGGAGGAAGGGACATGGGGAGAAGGGGATGGAGGGGCTAGGCGGGAGGAAGGGACGTGGGGAGAAGGGGACGGAGGGGCTAGGCGGGAGGAAGGAACGTGGGGAGAAGAGGACGCGAGGGGCTAGGCGGGAGGAAGAGACGTGGGGAGAAGGGGACGCGAGGGGCTAGGCGGGAGGAAGGGACGTGGGGAGAAGGGGACGCGAGGGGCTAGGCGGGAGGAAGGGACGTGGGGAGAAGGGGACGCGAGGGGCTCGGCGGGAGAAGCTCGGGAACCTTCGAGGGGGTTCTAGAAGGGGGGCGATACGGGGGATCTTTGTCTGTGTGTTAGGTGATCGCTAACAGCACTTGCCCCAACATTCTGTCCAGGCTATACGGGGGATCTTTGTCTGTGCGTTAGGTGATCGCTAACAGCACTTGCCCCAACATTCTGTCCAGGCTATACGGAGGATCTTTGTCTGTGTGTTAGGTGATCGCTAACAGCACTTGCCCCAACATTCTGTCCAGGCTATAACGGGGGATCTTTGTCTGTGTGTTAGGTGATCGCTAACAGCACTTGCCCCAACATTCTGTCCAGGCTATACGGGGGATCTTTGTGTGTTAAGTGATCGCTAACAGCACTTGCCCCAACATTCTGTCCAGGCTATATGGGGGATCTTTGTCTGTGTGTTAGGTGATCGCTAACAGCACTTGTCCCAACATTCTGTCCAGGCTATACGGGGGTCTGTCTTTGTGTGTGTTGGGAGCAAGTTTGAGTGGCGTATAGCCGTGGGAGTTGAACGGGCGCCTGCTGCTACTAACAGTCGTTGCCTACGGTTGGACAGACGCTGATAGACATACACACAGACAGACAAGACAGGCGGACAGACACAGACAAGAGGAACACAGAGACAGATAGACAGAGACACACAGGCAGAGAAAGACACAGAGGCGAACAGAGAGATGATGAATCGAACACTTGAAAGAGATGCCTCAATCTTTACCCATTCCCGGAAGTCGTTCTAGTTTATATAAATTTCATTGTGTGTGTTGTGTACGTGTAAGCAATGTGGGTTATCGAAAAACAAGAAATCACGATGTTTCGATCGGAACACGAGCGGTCGTCCTCAGGCGAAAACATCCAGACATTATCGCGGCAGAAGTCACGTGAGCTACGGCACGTGACAAACATAAGGTGACCCCCCCCCCCCGTGGCTCGCCCCGCTCAGCTGAGCATTGTTTTAATGCGGTGGGCTCACGCGAAGTTGCTTTCTGTAAGACGAAGGTACTTTGAAAACCCATATAAGTGTTGTGTCCTTTACTAACCACACGGAGACGTCTAGTTAAGGCAAAGCATTTATTATAACAACTCTTTTGAACTCGGCCCCTTCCACACTTCGGGCTCTGCTACCCACGGGTCCCTTAGCCCGGCGTTCAGGGAAGACTGGACGACCCATCCCAGCCAGGGTACAGGAGCTCACCTCTGGTCCGCTACAACCCCGGCTCTGGCTAGAGCTCGGAGAGGGTCCCAGGGTGTCCGAACCACCTCGGATCCACTACAACACGGCTCTAACAAGAGCCTCGGTTGAGGGTCCCCGGGTGCTGGTCCAGTCTTCAGGTCCTCGGATGTCTTCAGACTTTAGTTGGTGAACACTACCTGGCCCGTCCAGAGGGCCGGCCTTTTATCCCCAGGGGTTACCCATCCCCTCCTGACCCCCCCCCCCCACTCCCTTGGGGACGGGTGGGGGGTCAGGGGTGTTAGTCTCTGGTAACGGGGGGGGGGGCGGGGGTTTAACCTTTGGACGACCCCTACGCACCTTGCTCTCTCTTGGCTGCCCCGTCGACCCGTGAACGTGGTGGCAGGTCAGCTTACAGCGCCTTGTTATGGCGCTTATGCACAACTTCATGTGACGAACGCTGCACATTCCGTCGTTTTCATGCAGGGGGCGCTGCAAACCTACGCGCCCCCTGCATGAACGACAGAGGCACAGGGACAGACGGTCGATCGCGTTGGAATCGATCTACAGACGGCGGTCTTCTCGCACGGACAGCTGTGTCGCCTTATCTCGATCCCGCGATCCCAACCAGGTGAAAGTCCGCATCGAACCGAACCCCCGGCAAGGCCATCTACTTCACGACGAGATACATTCACGTGAAATGTCGTTTTCAAAGAAGTCTTCCAGATGTAAAATATTAGCTTTTAATGAAGAAATACAATTATCTAATTCAAAACATAATACAATTCAAAGTTGTTTCATTTCAAACTTCAAAACGGAGTATTGGAAGTTTGCGTGGATGCTTCGTTCGTGTGCAATTTTTTTCGTGACTTTCCTGGCCCAAGGCCGGAAATGGTTGTGAGGGGCACCGCAGGCGGTCAAAGCTTGCTTTAACCCATGGTTGTAAATATCCAGACGTTAATCAGCAAGGACCATTTCTTGTCCGAATTCAACAAAATCTATGTCAACACACAACATAAAATTATAATTCGTGTTGTAGAGAATGTACCTCCTATATGTGTAACTTTTGAGTGTTATGCCTTGTAACTGATGAATGATCCGAGTGTGCTCCCCATTTCAAAGACAATGAGTTGCTCCAGAGGGAGATGCTTCCTGAAAACACAAAAGTACCCTTTGACCTGTACCACAACAACGAGTCTCACCTGAGTTATCTGTACAGGTTACTTCAAAAACACACACTTTGCTCCAACATCACATATTCAATGTTTGACCCTTATAGACAAAATGTTACATGTACGTACACAATCAGACAAGTATTAATTCTAAATTATTGACAGGCATATGAACAAAATTGAATTACTGCACTTAAATATGCTGCATCAGGTTACATCGTATTAACACGAAGCCATTTAAAAAAATATGCAGTCTGCTTAACAGTGTATGTGTAGTAGAGTTACCCACTCGATGTTCACAAACTGGGAGAGCTAATCGTTGACAAGGTTTTCCCGCTCAAACTAAACACTACATATGTACAACATACTATTGCGCCATTCAAAACGAGTAGGCCATTGCATGCTGGCGTCTGGGTAAAAATTTAGCAAATTCTAAACATTACCTACAAACTACACAACTGAGATGCCACATCAACCATCGCCCCCTGACAGGCTCTTGTCCACATGCAAGCTGGTGCAGGGCCACCACCTTGTGCCACACAAGGGCAGCTGCTACTTGGGGATGCTCGAGTGTTTGAGACGAGATACGACGCAAAACTCCGAATTTCCCAGGCGATTAAGCAAGCACCATGTAAATGCAATTGATAACATAGTGAATGCTTGGGAGCTTATTGGCTCTCGCTCCTGGTTAGAGATCTACCCAACCCACAGGTCCACAAAGACTGGCCACTCTTACTCTGCAGGTTGCACCTAGGTTGAGTGTTCAAGTTCACATTCTTTTCATTAAAGGCCTGTGACAAAGGTTCATCTATTGGAGCGACGTCGTCTCAGGCTTACACATCTACCGGGTCTCCATTTGACTTTTTTTGTCTCGGAGGAAGTCCACCCACACCTCCACTTCCACAAACTGCTGTGAGTTGCCTCGCTCTGCCTTACAGTCAAAATTCTCCTCCTGCTTCACGTTGCCTCCATCGATGTGAAGGTCCGATTTTGGAGTTGAATCTTCATCTTCACATTTTACCATCACTTCCTCGCTCTTCATCATCACTTCTTCACATTTCACTTCTTCACATTTCACCTCAATACCTTTAAAAGTGTCCAAGCTGGGATTTTCTTCCGGTTGTTTCATGAGAGATGGGCTCATTGTGGCACTTTGACTTTCACAAGCTGATTTCAGACTCCACTCCTTGTGGATATTCTGATGCTTATGTGTTCTCTGGTGTCTTTGAAAATTTGGTGCAAATGCCTTCCCGCACAGAGTGTACCTGAAGGGGTTCTCTATCGTGTGTGTTCTCTGGTGTGCTACAAGAGTAGATAACTGTGAAAACAGATTCCCACACACACTGCACTTGAAGGGGTTCTCTCCCGTGTGTGATCTCTGGTGTATTACAAGAGTAGATGAACGTACAAACGCCTTCTGACACACACTGCACTTGAAGGGTTTATCTCCCGTGTGTGTTCTGTGGTGTGTTACAAGAGTAGATGAAAGTGCAAACGCCTTCTCACACACACTGCACTTGAAGGGTTTCTCTCCTGTGTGTGTTTTCTGGTGTGTTACAAGATTATATGAATCTGAAAACGCCTTCCCGCACAGAGTGCACCTGAAGGGTTTCTCTGCTGTGTGTGTTCTCTGGTGTTTTTTAAGAGCAGATGGATGTGAAAATGCCTTCCCACACAAACTGCACCTGAAGGGTTTCTCTCCCGTGTGTGTTCTCTGGTGTGCTACAAGAGTAGATGACTGTGCAAACGCCTTCCCACACACATTGCACCGGAAGGGTTTCTCTCCCGTGTGTGTTCTCTGGTGTGCTACAAGAGCAGATGACTGTGCAAACGCCTTCCCACACATACTGCACTTGAAGGGTTTCTCTCCTGTGTGAGTTCTCTGGTGCTGTGTCAAATGTTCAGGACGATTCGTGCTGTATGCACACCAGTCGCATTGATGCCTTTTTGCATCCGAGCCGCACCGAGTGCCTTTGCTCCATCAGACCAATTCTGCAGAGGAAGCGACAGCTGCAGACAGAAAAAAAGAATATCCACACCATCTACACATCAGTATCAATGCACAGAGGAATGCATATATACAGTCACACGTGACTTACACGTCTATACTTAGTCCCAAATTCATCACACGGGCTGTTATGGCATACAATGAGAGGGCAAATGGTCACAAACATGCCTGGAAGCCCTCTATTCTTCAAAATGAATGTTAACCCAAAACTCCTAGCACACAATTTCGGCTGTCTGGCTTCAAAAATAATATTTATGAAAGCTAAATTCAGCTAACATTGCAAAGGGTGTTGAAAATAATACGATTTGTGTTATGCAGAAATGCATAAATTCATGTTAAATCGAAACTTAGAGGTGTGAAGCCAGGCACAGAGTTAATAGTCTTTACTGCAAATACAAACTTCATACTCAGAGGCAGAGTCAGGATTTTCAGGTACGGGGGAGCAACCCCTCCAGCAATGAAAAATAATAGGAGTTGTTAGTAAGTGAGTTGTTAGTAAGTAAGGAGTTGTTAGTAAATAAGAACTTGTCCCTTGTTTTTTATTTGACGCGGGTGATCGGCATCGGGCTCACTGAAGGTGTTTGCCTTCAGGGAAGTCGTATACTGTATACGCAACTGCGCACAATTCTGCGAGTCGTTTCTAACTGCTTTGCCGTTACTTATTGCCAATTAAGGACTCGGACTGTTGTCCTCTCAGAGTCCCTGGCACGTAATAATGGGACACGGTGGCAGTGGGGATCGCAAAATGGCCATTTATCTATATATCTGAAAGGGAAATGTGTGGATACGTGTGCCTGTTCGAAATGTTTAGCATACTTCCCAACATGCTACACACTTGAAATTTGGCATGTGGGTAGGTTCCATACTGTACACAATGTAAAAAGTATAAAAATAAACTTTTGTATTTTGGGGGGGGGGTGGGGGAAATGACCATGAAGTGTGTGGCGTCAACCCGCATCACACCTGAGTTAAGCGCTCTGCAATGCTTACCCCTACCATATGGCTCTTTGCGCGCCATACTTCTAGAGCTGTTAACAGTGTGCCGAGAGATTTTAGGTGGCGCTTCGCTCCTGGCCAATGAAGCCATTGGCTTCTCGGAGTTTCAAAACATATCCGTGTGAAGAACGGGTACAACTGTTATCTTAAATATAAAGCAAAAATTACATTTGTTTTTTTTAGTGAAGCAGCAAGAGAAACGGTGCCTTAACGCGGCGAGAGAGTTTGTGTACGTCTGAGAAGCTGATCGCTATACCGTCGAGAGCCTAGTGCTCTCAGAAGGGTCACCCAAGGCGGGAAGACTTCAGTGGAGACGTCAGACAAAACCCGTTTCGAAAGGTCCCCACATGACCTTTTCAAATAAATGGTGATCCAAGAAAGCAACGGGAAACTACTTGGATAATTTCTCCTTTGAAAACTTCAATGATGACAAGCAAAATCAACAAGTATCGGCGTCCTTTAAATAGGACAGGGGTGCTAAGAATCTCCGAGCTTGTGTCAAAGAACCCTTTCAAAGTAGCAACTTGGAACGTTAGAAGTTTACTTCAAGCAGGAAAACTAGCCAATGTCATACAAGAAATGGATCGACTTAAAATCAACATAATCGGTCTAAGCGAAACTAAATGGCCTGGAACAAAAAAGTTTATATCGAGCGAACACCACATCTTCTGCTCCGGAGGAGAAGAAAACACCAAACAAACATACGGTGTCGCCTATATAGTACACAAGAAATTAGCGAATAAAGTCAACAACTTTACCCTAGTATCAGAACGAATAGCATTACTACAATTAGCAGGCAACAAAGTCAACGTGAACATTCTACAGGTTTATGCTCCAACAGCAGATAAACAAGATCATGAAATCGAATCGTTCTATGAGCAACTAACCAACACGCTGAAGCCGCTGAAGAAGCAAGACATCACTATAATCCTCGGCGATTTCAACGCCAAGGTTGGCCACGGTCGAATGCAGAACATTGTCGGAGAACACGGACTAGGAACAAGGAATGAACGAGGCGACAGACTGGTTCAATTCTGCCAAGAAGAACGTTTCAGTATTGCTAACACGTGGTTCCAATTACCACCTCGACGACTGTACACGTGGACCTCGCCGCAAGACTCCGACAACAACATCATCAGGAACCAAATCGATTATATCCTAATTAACATCAGGTTTAAGTCCAGTGTGATTACAGCAAAAACCTACCCTGGAGCCGATATATCGTCAGATCATAACCCAGTAACAGCTACAATAAGACTCAAATTGCGATCAATACAATGTACAAAGACGAGACGAGCAGACCTGGAGAAACTGAAGAACAGCGCCGATAAAAGACAAGTACAGCAACATCTCAACGATAGCATCCGCTCAATAACAGAAACAGCAGATGTTCAGGAGTACTGGCGCTCGTTCAAACAATGCATCACAGAAACAACAGAAGTCATGCTGGGACATCAGCCACCGAAAAAGAAACAACGATGGATGACACATTGTATTCTCGATCTAATGAGCCAACGAAGAATGTACAAAAACAACAACTTGGAGAAGTACAAACAAATGCAACAGAAGATCAGAGAAGCAATCCGACAGGCAAAAGAAAAGTGGATGGAAGAACAATGCGCCGAGATTGAAGAACTAATTAAAAAACATGACAATTTTACTCTGCACAAGAAGCTCAAAGAAGCTGGTAACATCTACAGACCAGCCCCAACAGCTACCTTGTATGCGGACAACAACCAACCAATCCTAAATAAACAGGAAAAAATGGACACCTGGACAAACTATATACACAAGCTCTATGGCGCCACGAGAACACCTGCAGAAAAAGACCAACAGATGTCGAAAGACGCTCTACACATTTTAACATCAGAAGTAGAACATGCAATCAAAACAGCTAAGTCAGGCAAAGCGTGCGGGCCCGACACAATCCATGTAGAATTGCTCAAACTATTAGACAGTAACAACATACGACAACTGACTAATTGGTACAATCAAATATACATTGGCAATAAAATTCCATCCGACTGGCTACAATCCATCTTTGTGGCCATACCAAAGAAAGCAACAAGCCGGAAATGCGAGGACTACAGACTGATAAGCTTGATGAGCCACGTGCTGAAAGTCTTCCTGAAGGTGATCCAACAGCGCATACGCTCCACATGTGAAAATGCATTGAAGAACACACAGTTTGGCTTCTGCAAAGGACTAGGCACAAGAGAAGCAATCTTCTGTCTACAGATACTACTACAGCGATGCTACGAACATCAGAAAGAAGTGTACATCTGCTTCATAGATTACGAGAAAGCCTTTGACTCAGTCGACTACGACCGACTAGCAGCTCTATTAAAACAACTGGGACTAGATAAAAACGACATCAACTTCATCATTGCTCTTTATTGGAAGCAAACAGCCCAACTCCGATATGACAACGAATTGACAGACCCAACACCAATACAAAAAGGTGTACGACAAGGCTGCCCACTTTCACCCAGTCTTTTCAACATCTACTCGGAGCAGATTTTTGATCGAACACTAGCAGATAAAAACATTGGTATTAAAGTCAATGGACAATACATCAACAACATCAGGTATGCCGACGACACTGCACTGCTGGCCGATTCGGAACAAGACCTACAACAAATCTTGGACGAGGTTGCCACAGAGTCAAATATGGGGCTTACGAATTAATAAAAAGAAAACAAAGGTTATGAAGGTCAGCCGAACTACAAGCGAAATAACAATCAAGCTTGGCAGCGAAAAATTGGAACAAGTACACCGATTTAAATACCTTGGTGTAATCATTGACGATCAGTTGAACCATGAAGTCGAAATCAAGAGCAGAATTGAACAAGCAAGGCAAGCATTTATTAAATGGAAAACACTCCTTGCAGACCGCAACTTGAGTACATCACTGAAACTGCGCACACTGAAATGCTACATCTGGTCAATTTTGCTGTACGGAGTAGAGACGTGGACACTGACAACAACAGCAACAAAAAGGCTCGAAGCTTTCGAGATGTGGCTGTATCGAAGAATGCTGAAAATCACATGGACAGCCAAAACCACCAATACACAAGTTCTGCAAGATATGGGCACTGACAGGCAACTGCTGAAGACCATCATTAGCAGGAAGTGTTACTACCTAGGCCACATTGCCCGAAACGACCACAAATACCAGCTATTAAAGCAAATCCTGGAAGGAAAAATCGAAGGGAAAAAACGACCAGGACGGCCAAAAACGACATGGCTCAGTAACATCAAAACATGGCTACAATTAACAACAGCACAAACTCTACACGCCGTGCTAGACCGGGACCAATATCATCGTGAAGTCGCATACGCCGTTAGGCAGCACTAAAGAAGAAGAAGCAAAAACTCTCCAACGCCGAGCTCTGGCGTCATGAAATTTTCACAGCTTATGCTGTCTGGAATTTCGAAGTGAACTCGACTATTTTCAGCTCGCCATGTCATTCCCTTCCCGAGGGTCCAAAATCGACCTTACGTAGAAGGTTAAGGTTAAAATTCCTTGAGTGAAAACATCCGATTTTAAGCGATTTGTTTCGGCGTTTTACTTTCTTGCAAGCATACATTTTTTTTCAGGGTTTTTCAGTGAAATATAAGGGAATATGAAATTAATCCAAGACAATAATCCAAGCCTCAGGCAAAGCCGGGTAGTGAAGTTAGTTACTAATAAACCCCAATGATCTGTATTCTTAGGTTTTTTCGGTAAAGTCACGTAGGTAAAAAATTAAAATGGTAAACTACCATTCTTGGATATTCTGTTTGAGAGGAGACCTGACGGATCCTTGGGACATTCTGTCTACAGGAAAGCCACCCACACAGATTCCTACTTGAAACCAGATTCCCACCACCACCCATCTCAAAAGAATTCTCTCATCAAAACGCTATACCACAGAGCCCATGGCATTTCTGACCAACACCACCTGGCCGGTGAATTAAGACATGTACATCGGGCCCTCAGGATGAACGGATACTCTGACCGCACCATCCGCCAAGCTGTTTCTCCCACCATACAGAAGCAGCCACATAAAACTCCGACCAAAACTATCACGTTACCATACATAGCAGGCGTGACCAAAAAGATCTCCAAAATTCTAAACAAACATAAGATCCAAGTCCGATTCAGTACAGTGCATAAAATCCGTGATCTGATTCCATCTGTGAAGGATGTCGTTCCTGACTTACAGTATCCTGGAGTCTACAAATTGAGTTGCAGTTGTGGTGATTGCTACATTGGAGAAACAAAATGTCATGTCTCTGATCGTGTCCGCGAGCACAAGTCAGATCTGAAACACGGCAGAAATGATTCTTCGGCCGTTGCCAATCATTGCTACAACTCTGTGGGCTCTCATGAAATTGTCTTTTCCGAGACCAAGGTGCTCTGCAAACCTCCTGGCTACCATCAAAGGTTTGTACACGAAGCCATACAAATATACAAACACAGACATAATTTTAACAGTGATGATGGTTACAAACTGAGTAATCATTGGAAAGATGTGATTAACCATGCAAAAAAGATTTAACTACACTTATTTGGACCATCTTATTTGACAGAAAACTATTACAGGTTACTGATAGACAGCCAGTTTTGTTTTACCATGTTTAGCTTTCTACCAGGTTTAGCTTTCTTTTTTCACACATTTGTTATGTAGGCTAGGCGTAGTCACAAACCGAACCTCTCCATAATAAAGGCTCAGTCTTTTGTTATGCAGTCTATTCCTAGTCTCAAGCCGCACCTTTAATCATTGAAAGATGTGATTAACCATGCAAAAAAAGATTTAACTACACTTATTTGGACCATCTTATTTGACAGAAAACTATTGCAGGTTACTGATTGGACAGCCAGTTTTGTTTTACCAGGTTTAGCTTTCTACCAGGTTTAGCTTTATTTTTTAACACTTTTGTTATGTAGGCTAGGCATAGTCACAAACCGAACCTCTCCATAATAAAGGCTCAGTCTTTTGTTATGCAGTCTATTCATAGTCTCAAGCCGCACCTTACCATAATAATAAAAAGTGGGCCATTCCTGCCCCCCCCCCTCAACCATTATATATACGGAGTGGTATCTCCTGTAATCTCTCATTTACTTGATACATCTGTCGGGCTGTGACGGTTCCACCTGAAGACGGAAGCTTGTGTTGCCTCCGAAACGTCGTGATTTTTATTTTATTTTACTTTTATTAATTTAAATTTTTTACCTTCGTGACTTTACCGAAAAAACCTAAGAATATGAATCCTTGCAGTCACGAAAGCTTCAAATCCCAATGATCTGATCGAAATTATGGATTTCCATCAGATCGTTAGGAGGGCACGTGCCACCCCCACCCCCACGGGCTCCGCCACTGTCACACACTGTATGGTTTACAGGTGGTGGTGTGTCCAGACCCACGCCTGGCCACCTTCACCTGCGCAGTATTAATGCTTGCTCACTCCAAATGATTCATTAAGGATCAATCAACACAGCCGAGGCTGCGTGTCTCTCTTTCCCCGTGGTCACGTGGCTTTCCCTCCGGACCCCACGGTTTCCCCTTCATATGTGGAGAGTGAACGCCGCCACGCGTCTAGAGTGAACGCCGCCACGCATCTAGAGTGAACGCCTCCACGCTTCTAGAGTGAACGCTGCCACGCGTCTAGAGTGAACGCCGCCACGCGTCTAGAGTGAACGCCGCCACGCGTCCAGAGTGAACGCCGCCACGCGCCCAGAGTGAACGCCGCCACGCGCCCAGAGTAAACGCCGCCACGCGCCCAGAGTGAACGCCGCCACGCGCCCAGAGTGAACGCCGCCACGCATCTAGAGTGAACGCCGCCACGCGCCCAGAGTGAACGCCTCCACGCGCCCAGAGTGAACGCCGCCACGCGTCCAGAGTGAACGCCGCCACGCGCCCAGAGTGAACGCCTCCACGCGCCCAGAGTGAACGCCGCCACGCATCTAGAGTGAACGCCGCCACGCGTCTAGAGTGAACGCCGCCACGCATCTAGAGTGAACGCCGCCACGCTTCTAGAGTGAACGCCGCCACGCTTCTAGAGTGAACGCGGCCACGCTTCTAGAGTGAACACCGCCACGCTTCTAGAGTGAACGCCGCCACGCTTCTAGAGTGAACGCCGCCACACTTCTAGAGTGAACGCCGCCACGCATCTAGAGTGAACGCCGCCACGCTTCTAGAGTGAACGCCGTCACGCTTCTAGAGTGAACGCCGCCACGCATCTAGAGTGAACGCCGCCACGCATCTAGAGTGAACGCGGCCACGCTTCTAGAGTGAACACCGCCACGTGTCTAGAGTGAACACCGCCACGCTTCTAGAGTGAACGCCGCCACGCTTCGAGAGTGAACACCACTACGCTGTTGACAAGCCTCACCTTGTTGTTGTGGGCAGGTCGCTTGTGAAAACAAGAGCGGTTTAGCAGCTCAACGCGGGCGTGGCCTGGTAAAATGAAAAAAAAATACTGTGTTAATATTGAAAATTTAAACAAAGTTACAAAGTGGCGAGCCGGGTCAAGACAAATTAAACTTAAGCGAGAGAATTGAAGCAAACGCGATCAGGCGAGGGCAGGAGGCAAGGCCCCGCGTTGTAAAGTTTCAACGTGGACATTGCTTCCATGCTCGCTGCTACTCAATTGACATCCCTACGAGAGAGAGAGCGAGGCTCTACCTCGGTACACAACAACAAAAACCACCACCACCACAACCACCACAACCGCGATGAGAATTTCTCACCTCGGATTTCAGTGCACGGGCCGAGCAACAACTTCCTGGTCCCTCGTGACGTCACGCGGCAGCAGGTGACATGACGTCACTTGCGGGGCAAGATGACACTCCCCTCCCACAATGAGCGGCTCTCAACTCGCGACGGCTTTCACGAATACATTATGTTAATGAGCCACCAGTTACCGGGCGTGGCTTTGCCCAAATAAAGATTGGCACTGGGACAGATAACGGCAGCGGCCGATCGTGGGTGACGTCACGCTCAAGAGCGCGTAGATCGGGGGTAGGTGACATGACGTCACTAGCGAGGCACACCTCCCCCTGGCGTTTAACGCCAATGAGGTCACGCGGATGGGTGACGTCAGAGAGCGGGGTTAGAGTTCAAGTTTGTTGACAGAAAGGGAGCAGCAGTGTCGACTCGGCCTCAAAAGAGTACCCGGTGCGGTGTGTCAACATCGCCAGCACTAGGGAGACAAAGGCGGCCGGGCGTGGTGCTGGCCACCCACCCCCTCGTGTGCCGTGACGACCTCCATCGGTGCTGCTCATAGCGAGCAGATGTTGTGGCTTGGCTCTCAAGCACACCGCTGGCGACATTTCACGATGACATTTTCACGTCCATAAAAAGAATATCGCCATATGCCGTTTTTTGGCAAAATTGATCCAATTTTTTTAGCTTTTGTTTTCAACGAAAAGTGCATTCCTTGGTTGTGTTTAGCCTGAGTAGCGTATATTTTACGTGAAAAAGTGGGGAATTTCATACGAGAAATTTTCGAATATAAAAAAGTTAATCGGCATACTGTGCCGATTTTAGGCCAAATAAGCCCAACTTTCAGACGAAAGTTAATTCCTCTATTGTATTTAACCTTAGTATGCTATGTATTAGATTAAAAGTGGAAAATTTTATGATGAAATGTTCACATCCCAATATAGAATATCGGCATACTAACTTAGGCCGTTTTTGGCCAATAATGGCCAAATTTTTACAGCTTCATTTTTCAACAAAAGTGCAATCCTCGGGTGTGCTTAGCCTTAGTATCCGATATATTACGTAAAAAAAGTGGGAAATTTCACCATGAAATTTAAAAGTAAAATAAAATCGACCAAAATTGGCCAAACTTTCACAGCCTTATTTGTTGACAAAACTTCATTGCTCCATTGTATTTAGACTTAGTATGCTAACGTATTAGATTAAAAGTGGAAAATTTCACGATTAAATGTTCACGTTCCAAACAGAAAATCGACATACTAACCTCTGCCGTTTTTGCCTAAAATTGAACGAATTTTTACAGCTGTATTTTTAAATATAAAGTGCTTTCCTCGGTTGTCTTGAGCCTGAGTAGCCTATATATTACATTAAAAGTGGGAAATTTCACCATGAAATTTGAAGTAAAAATATCAAATCGGCATACTTTACCAATACCGTTCTTGGCCAAAATTTGCTACATTTTCATAGATAGATTTTCTAAGAAAAGGTGAATTCCTCCATTTTGTTAAGCATTAGTATGCTCTGTATTACTTTAAAAGTGAGAAATTTCACGACTAAATTTTCACGTCCCAAAAGGAAAATTGGGTACTTATGCCAGTTTTAACCAAAATAAGCCAAATTTTGATAGATTCATATTTCAACAAAAAGTCAATTCATCAATTGTATTTACCCTTAGTATGCCATGTGTAGTGGTGATACGCGCTGGCAGTAGGGATCGTGTGGCAGCGCGTGGTGATTGGCTGTGTATTGGTGACGCGCGCTGACAGTGAGGGATCGTGTGGCAGCGTGTGGTGATTGGTCAACTAGAGTGGGTGCTCACATCTAGGTCCGCATAGGCTCCGTCCCCTCAGGAGCGGAGGACTATAAAAGGCGATGCGCGCGGGCGCTCGGGGAGTTGGTAACCAGTGAAGACGGACGACGGAGGAGGAAGAGATAGGGCCCTGAGACCCCTAGTCCCACTGTCTTTGTAAGGGCCGGGACCCTGTGTGGCTCAGAGGCGGGACCTTGGGACCCGCGGCCGGATGTCCATGTGAGGGCCGGGCTGCGGGACCCAGTGGTCGTGATCCATACCCAAGCTGGGGTGGGTCTGTAGGTTCCCCTGGAAGCTACGGGGTTGGAGAGCCCGTGTGTGTGTAGCCGGGTGGAACATGTAGCGTGAGCTGTAGTGACCACACGTGTTATTGTGGCAAGGAAAAGTGTTAATAAAGTGTGCTACCCATCAAGTTGTCTCCCGCTGTAATTTACGATATTACAACTGGCGTCAGAAGTGAAACAGTCTTCCAGCCATGGATACCAGGAAGACTCATCGGACTCACGAGCGTGACCGGGAGAAGAGGAGGAGATGCCGGCGCCACAGGACCCCTAAAGGGCGCCCAACGAGCAGCTGGGGTCCGATGTTGGACTCCGCGACGCGCACTCCCGCCTGGCAGAGCTGCTACTCGCCGCGGCGTCCATCCTAGCGGAGATCACCACGTCTGGAGGAGGGAGAACGTCGACGGATATCGAGAGGGGTCGCGTTGCAGATTCCCGCCAAAATGTGCTTCACACGAATGACTTTGAAAATCCCGCCATTTCTACCGAGCGGCCGTCTATTGGCGGGAATCGCGAGCAACACGTGGGGGAGGTCCTCCAATCTCTGCCGCTCACATCATCAGCGTGCGCTACGGGCCGCCATCAGACACCCGTCACAGGGGCCGCCATTTCTCCTATCGACGGTGCGGCGCGGGAAAAACACGAGGCGGAGGACGACATTATTTTCCAGCAGCGTCTTCCCACGTTGACGGCTTTCAAGGCGGAAGGGGGTGACTGGGGCGCATTGCAGCGAAGATTTCTCGCCCATCAAGAGATGTCGGCCTGGTCCGACGCTACGGCGCTGCGGGCACTGCCTGCGATGCTGGATGACAACGCGCTCGCGGCCTTCAGGTCCGCCCCGAGATCGGCCCGCTCCACGCTCAAGGCCGCGCTGGGCCTCATGGCCAAAGTGTACGGACCACCTTCGGCCTGCTGCCACCAATTTTACGAGCGACGGAAGGCGGACACGGAGACCGCGCTCGCCTACCGCACGGCGTTGTTGGCTCTCGCGGACGCCGCGTTCCCTCGTATGGAAGAGGAGGGGCAGGACGCTATGGTTTTGGAACAACTGCTGAAGTTGGCTCAGGACCTGGGGGTCCCCATCAACACAGCCGTCGAGGTGGACATATGTTCGTTGTGGGTGGCGACGAGCATCCAGGCGCACGAGGTCCTGAAGCGGAAACAAGTGGTCGTCTGCGCTTCTGCCGCGGATCTCAGCTCCGGCCCCGGTGGACGCCGAGCCCCAAGTCATTCGCCCACGGGAGGAGGCGTTCGCTGCAGCACGACCAGGGGATTGGAGGTCGGGGGGTCGTTCGCCTCTGCGATCGACCCGCAAGCTGGAGCAACCGAGACCTCTGATGTCCCTCGTCACGTGCTACAACTGCGGCCTTCGGGGCCACGTGGCGTCCGGGTGCCGCGCTCCACGTCAACGCGCCACGGGACCTCGGCTGGACGACGACCAAGGCCCCAAGTCGTCCCAACTACCCCCGGCAAGTCGCGGCACTTCACATGCTCGGCCTACATACACGACACACATGGGCCACCGCTTTGCGGCAGAGGATGTGCGATTGGGGGCCGGGGATTCGGTTCGGAAAGGGGGGTTCGTACAGGGCCAAGGGGAAATTAAGTGGTCCGAGTTGGGCCACAGAATAGTGGCTGCGTCGGCCGGCTCGTCTGTCATTACGGGATTCATAGACAGTATCGAGGTCGGTGTTGGTGGACACGGGAGCGTCGGCGACTATAATTTCCGATCTCATTTATAACATTCTCCCCGTCCAATGTCGACCTCTGCTCCCGGTGGACGTGCCATGTTACGCGGCAAATGGAGGCTCATTGGGCATTATAGGTCAGATTCGGGGAGCATTTGCATAGGGGATATTAAATTGGCGGGACCTTCCGTAGCGGTTTCTTGTCTGTTGGGTACCGAGTTTTTGGCCAAGATGCCCATTAAAATTCTGGTTGATCAACGTTGTATTGAGCTGCCATCGGGTCGCCGTATTTCCTTTTTATCTAACCCTACTGAAATACGGACGGCGTGTGCGACGATCCAAGCGCAAGCGACCCATACGGAGCACGTGCCCCCGAGTTCGCAGATGTTGGTACCCCTCCGGTTGCGGAAGCCATTGGGTGGGGAGACTGCGGGACAAGGCGTGCTTTTGGGTCCGTCGAATAGAGCTGTCGGGGGTCTGGATTTGGCGGTGGCTCAAACGATGGTTCGGGCTGACGGGGACCCGTTCGTTATGGTTTTAAACGCTGGTTCGCGGCCGGCTGTTATTCCGCAGGGCACCGTGCTTGCTCACGTGGCACGGGTCCCTGCGGAAGAGCGGCTTATTGCGCATGTTGATCCCGTCCCGGCGCAGGAAATTCTATCGGGTGAGGACCTTGAATGGGTGGACTCGCTGTGTGCGGGCTCCAGTGATTTGTCATGGGTGCAATTGGGTGCGCTGCGCGCTCTGCTGATCGAATTCTCCGATGTGTTCAGCAAGCACAAATATGATATTGGGTGCACGGACCTGTTACGCCACCACATTGAAACAGGTGATGCGGCACCAGTCCGGCAGAATCCCTTCCGGCTGAGTCCTGCCGAGAAGGACCACGTCCAATCGGCCGTCAATGACATGCTGACTGCCGACATCATTTCACCCTCATCCAGTCCGTGGGGAGCACCTATCGTTCTGGTTAAGAAGCAAGACGGGTCCTTGCATTTTTGTGTGGATTTCCGTCGCCTTAATAAGATCTCCGTGGCTGACACGTATCCGCTCCCCAGAATGGATGAGTCTCTGGACGCATTATCCGGGGCGCGGTATTTTTCTACACTTGACTTACTGTCGGGATTCTGGCAACTACCACTCGACGATGAGTCTAAACCTAAGACCGCATTCCGGACCCCAGGGGGCCTGTTCCAGTTTAATTGCTTGTTCATGGGACTCCATTCCGCTCCCGCGACGTTTCAGCGCCTTATGGAATTGGTTTTGTCGGGTCTGCAATGGGATACTTGCTTGATTTACCTTGACGATGTCATTGTTTTCAG